ATAAAAGATGACTGAGACACATTGGAGGCTTCGCCTTGGGGCTTTGTAAGCGATTTTCCAGGCGAATGAAAGCGCGAAGAAGAGGTCAAGCGGCTCCTTGTCTCGTGTGGTAATGCAAGAGCAGAAGAGCGAGTTTATTGTATCCGTGCAGCTCCATCGAAGCCCCGAGGTTATCGCCCCACTTTTCTCTCTAGCAAGGATAAGAGACCCTTGTATATACCCAAAAAATACAGCAAATTACGCCCCCACACAAGAAATTTACACAGCGCCGCCAACCCCCACTGAAATTCGCCCGATTAAGGCTGGAAAAACATTTTTACATTTCAGCTACAGTAAAACAACTTTCCGATCTTGTCTCAGAAGAGCGGCATGCCTCGAACAACCAGCTGCACCCCCTGCTCCGCGAGCAAGGCCTACAGCGCATGGAAAGCCCTGGAGCCAGTCAGCAGACCAGCGGCCTTGCAGTGCAGTTAGAAGCTACAACCAGCTACATTTGTTTGGGATCTTGTGTCTTTGTGGTTTAATTGCTGAATCTGTGCCGAAAACCATGAGAAAGCTCACTTCAGTTTTGCTTTCCGCTGCCGTGCTGGGGGCCGCCCACCAAGTGGAGGGCAGCGACTCGGATAAAAAAGGATCGGCCGGTGGGTGGAAGCGAAAATACAGGAAAATAATCCGATAATGGCTTGTTCGCAGCAAAATTTCAGAGATACTTGCAGGGGTTGTTGTGGTTTCGCATCTGTGCAGCCTCCGCCGACTGCCTTGTCGACTTCAACGCTGCTCGAGAACGAGCAGGCCTCGAAGCGTTCATTGCAGAGGCGGACGCAAACAAGAAACTGCCAACAGGCAAAGACGACTACATCGAAGCAATTTGCTCCGCCATACAAGAGGCAAGTGGCCTGTAATTGCTCGACCATTCATAAACTGTGTGTTCGTGTCTGCATATGTGCAGGAGTTGTGGGCTAAATAGGGCTGAACGCATTAGCTTGCTATTCGATGCTCTCAGGGAGCAGCGGTTAACCTTACGGGGCAAGATATCAAGCGCGAAGGCACCTATGCCTACGCGCCTGAGACAGGCCCTGCCGATGGCTGCTCTGCTGCCGTCTCCTATTGGAAAAAAGCCTACGTAAACTTTGGGGAACTCCCGCCCGAATACAAGAAAGAGACAGATGTGTATAAGGATAGCCGGAACATCTCGCTTGTGGCCCTGTACAACCCGAAGGAGGGCGCCACAGTTGACTGCGCCTACATCACTTGCCCTATCTCCACAACGACAACCACAACCACCCCTACCACTACCAGTGCTACCACTGGTACTACAAGTCCGACTAGCCCACCCGCTAGCAGTGACGGATCTTCTCTTTTAAGTGGTGAGCCGAAAGGTGCGGGTTCAGCGAACTTGGAAGTCCAGGATCGGGAGCTCACCACCGTTTCGCATGACGAAGTCTCTGAAGAGCTTCAGAACACCGGCCCATCCGTTCGGCGCCTCTCCACTCCCTCGGAAACGGTTACCGGACTCGTTTGCCTCACCAATCCTGCAGCTCTTGTAGATGGAGTAAAGCCCTTCTCGTACGTCCTTGAGAAAATACCGTCTTCCTTTCCTT